CGAGCGCGCGCGCAACGGGGCTCAGTCCTACCCGGGCGCCCGGCACACGTTGCGTCCCCGCGGGCTCAGCTCCTGGGCAGCTCGCAGCGGAGGCAGCAGCAGCAGCAGCGGCGGCAGAAGCAACAGCGGAGGCAGCGAGGACTGCAGAGGCCACGGCCGCAGCACTGGCCCTAGCGGGCGGCCAGCGCGAGCCCCGGGGCCCCCCCATGCCGGGCCGGGGGGCGCGGGGCGCAGAGCGGCTGCGGGGAACGCGGCCGGAAGCCGAGTGCAAGGGGAGCCGAGGGCCGAGTGGAGAGAGGCGAGGCCCGGCGGGGCGGGCGGGCGTGCGGGGAGGGGAGGAGAGGAGAGGGGAGGGGGCCGGGCCGGCAGGAAATTCCACATCGGCTCCCCTGATCCCGGGCCAGCCTCGGGCCGCCTCTGCGTAGCGCCGCCCAAACCCCCCCCCCGCGGCGGGCCAGCCCCGGGACCCCCCGAGAGGCCCCTCCAAGTCTGCCCCAGCGCCCGGCTGCCCTGTGCCCCTGTCCCCACCCCCTCCGTCCTGGGTCCCAGTCCCCAGTCCCCCTTCCATCAGTCAGCCCCCTAATCTGCCCCCATCCCCCTGTGCATACCTCCCCCTCCTCTGCCATTCAATCCGACGAGTACTTATTAAGCACCCACTGTAAGCAGAGCGTTGGGTGACGGGGATCCGGACAAAATAAAGACTGCCCCAGTGCCCCCCTTCACTCTCCCTTCTTTCCTCTTGCCCCCCCCCCACATCCCTATTTCCTTCTACTTGTGCTCAACCACAATTTTACTCCTCCCTAGTAGTACTCCCTCCTCTCACTGGGATGATGAGAGAAGCCGGGGCCTAATGAAAGGGACTGCGCCAGGGACAGAGAGAAAGGAGGGGTGGAGGATTCTGCTGGGGCCACTTGAGAAAATGAAGGTGCATTTCTAGGTGGAAAGGGATAAGGCAGAAGACCCCGATGACTGTTACCGGCTCCTTCCCATCGTCACTTCCCTCTTCCCTGGAACAATCTGACATTTACTAGCTGGGTGGGCCTCAGTTTCCTCATCTGTAACATGAGAGGTTCGACTCCAGGTCCTCTAAGGTTCCTTCTGGCCCTGTCCCTATTTTAAAAAATGACCAAAAGCATCTTATTGCAACACTGAATCACCAGAACGCCAGCGGTCTTTGACAACCGTCAGCCTGTGCCTTTGTCAGGATAAATGCCATCCCAAATTGCTGATACCCTTGTTTTTTACTGCTGTGGCTGTTGGATCAGGACAGCTGGGTTTGGTACCAGTTCTTTATCATTCCCTTCAAGAATTAACTTGTCTTTTAGGGTTTAGAAAGCAGCGCAAGCAACACTTTGCCTCTGATAGGTGCACTCTTCAGGTGTGTTTTTCATCCAAAGAGTTTCTGACCTCGTCCTGTGAGCCATTCTGCTAAATAACATCGTTGGGAAAGCAAACATTGATGAACCTCATCTTGCAGGAGAACCTGGGGTGACTAACACCACCTTTGGACTGTTTCCTACATGACTATAGATTGCACAAACTGTTGGAAGTCCTTCTGGGTATCTCCATCACTTGCCAACCTGGAACCTTTTCTTCTTTCCAAGATACTCAATACTGATGTGGTTGAAATTCCCTTGTAGGATTCCTCCTGGGACTCTTCACAATAACTTATCTGGCTCTTCAGAGATGTCAACGTTTCCTGGGATGCTCACGGTCTGGTTTCCTTCTTTCTAGCCACGGATGGGCCAAAGCCAGTTCTATCAATTAGGGTGGCTTAGGAACTGACCAGACGAGAGGGTGGCAGAAAGAAATTTCAGAAGGGATGTGTGCCCGGAAAAGGCACTACCCACAAGGATAAAATCTGGATCCTTGAAATATGCAAGTCCAGATACTAGTAGGGTGGAAATACGGCTGATAACTATGTTGTTGGAGGAGAAGGGAAAAGAGAGTGGAAATGCCCAAAGCAATGTCTTGGGGGACTCAAGATCATAGCTGTGGAGTGGAAAGGGACCTGCAAGGTCCTCCCTCCCAGGAGTCCTTCACCTTCTCAATGTTTGCTGCTCATATTCATAATGGAAGGAAATGCTCCATTTTAGAAGTGAGCAAAAATAGAGAATCTCTCCCCACGCTAAGAAATGCTCCTCTAGGCCAATGCCCCGCTTTGACAGAGGAGGGAGGGGATGTCGTCCAAGGTCACAAAGTAGTATCAGAGCCAGCATCTTAATCCATGTCTGTTAAGCCCAATTCACTGCTCCTTCCACTGTACCTTGGGTGGAAGCATCAGAAATCTGGGGGAAGGGATGGGGTCATACAACAGGCAGGAATGCTAGACACCCGGTATAGGCCTTCTGATCAGACCAGGGCCTGGGAGAGGATTTATGACATCTTGGGGGGCAACAAGGCAAACCAGAACACATTTGTACCCCCCATCCTACCCTCACCTTTACCCAAATGCACTCTCTCCTTTTCCCCACCCCCTACACTCCCCCCATCCAAAACCTATCTATCTATATATGTGTGTGTATATATATATACACATATATATATAATATATGTATATATATATATATTCCCCCAATACAGAAACATTTAGGCCTCAATATGGATATCATGCTGGCTTGGAACTGGGAAAATCTGAGCTTAAATCTTGCCTCAGACACTGTTAGCCTGGGCAAATCACAGCCTCTCAGCCTCAGTTTCCCCATCTGTAAAATGGGGGGAAAGATGGAGTGACATGGTTGGTCGATAGTTGTCTTTTGTTTTCGAAGAGGCCCAAAATGACATCACCATGTTGGGGTCAAGATCCAGCGTGTCCGACTGAGGCTGACCGAACCGATACAAGCTTGGAATGCTCCAACACAGGTCGGGCACAAATAGTGCATGCCAACATTGGTGATGTCTTTTGATTTGAGCATAAATTGGATTTAAGTGAGGCAGAGTTGGGTCAAGTCATCAGCCTCACTCTCTCTGGTTCCAGAGTCCTTGGAGTTAAGTGCTTTGCAAACCTTAAAGCGTGTGAATGCTAGCTCTATCCCACCACCCCCCCCCTTCAGGGTCAGAGGGACCCAGGAGCAATCTTTTTTCCTTATTCAACATCCTTATTCAACTATGGCAAGACCTGTGTGACCTCGGGTAAGTCACTCCACCTCGGTTTCGAGGTCTGTCTGGCCTGAGGTTCTTTCTGGCTCAAGAAGTGTGCCTCACTCTCTCACCTCATCCCCTCACAAGCTCACACAAGGCACGCCAATCCAGGTGCCACCTTCTCCATGAAGCCTTCCCTGATCACCTCAATCCCCAAAAACCAGTCCTTCCTCTGACACTAGGAAGGGATCAGCCTCACTGGCACATCTACCCCTCCCAACGGTCTAGCACTGGGACCTACACAGAGCAGAAACTCGGTTGATTTGTCGACTGGTTCACCCCCTTCCTCCAGCTGAAGAGATCATGCCAAACCCAGCTTTTACCCTCACCTCCCACCCCGTCCACAGATGGAGGAACACGTACGAACGCTTAGGAAAAGGGCCCTGCCTGCAGGAGAGCAAGAGCAGCACCCCCTCCATCTCGTTCCTCCTCCATCACCAGAATGGGCCATGGTCCCGCTGGCCGAGGGAGGTTGGGAAGAGGGAGCCTCAGAGCAGGACTGACCCAGCAGGGTTTGGCCAGGGAGAGGGGCCTAGGATTTTTAGCAAAAATCCTAGCCAAGGAATTGTTCCCTACCTGGGTCCGGGGGAAGGAAGTTCTCCCTCATCAATCAGGGGTGAAAAACGGATAGCCTTCAAATCAATTAGTATTGATTACTCTGATTTATTTTTAGTTTGACTGTGGGACTGAGCTCCCTTCTTTAGGAAAAGCTGGCCCTAACAGCAAAGCCAGACTAACAGAGATAGTCTCTTAAATCTAGGTTACCTACAAATTTAGTGAATAGACTGATAAGACTATCATAGTAGCAGATATTTTAGAGTGAGACATCTATCTTTGTAGAAATAAAATAATCATAGGAAGATGACTCTTTTTTTTTTTTAAAGGCTGAGGTCCCCTTTCTAGCAGCTGGAGAAAGTGGGGTTAGCTAAAGGCTGATTCTCTTTCCAGTCTTCTCATTGGATAGATCCGCTTTTTCTGTGAGCTGGAGTCTTCCAAGGCTGGTGGCTGGAAGATGGCAGGTGACTCCTATCTACAGACCACAGTTCCTCTTTCCCGGAAACTTTGTGGTTACAAACAGCATCACCTGCAGGGCAAGGACTTGTGGGGTAATTTTGATGTTACTGTTGGGTTAAGAAAGCCTAAGAGAAGCACACTAGTCAGACAACCTGCCTTGTCCAATTGAATTGTGTTTAAAACAAGTTTCTGTAATTTTTGTTATTCCTCTCGTTATAAAAATCAACTGTGTAAATCACTCCTTGTCTCTGACCCCTGAGGAGTCAGATGACCTGATCTGACATGCAAATGCTAGCTTTGCAAATTCTTGGTAACTTTGTACCTCAGTTTCTTTTTATTTCAGACAATTTTAACAGGGGTTGGCTCTAGATGGCTACCCCTTCCCATACGGGCACTCCTTCCCCTCAACGGTCCTTCGTCTGCATCGAAGTAGGAACACAGCTAGCTCTCGCTAACTAGCTCCCACTAAGTCACCAAGGCAGGAGAGGAGGGAGCAATCACATAAGGGCTGAGGGCTTTGGAAACTGAGTCTGGAGGCATGCCAAGAAAGCTAAGATGCAGAATCGGGAAGATCTCTGAGCTTTGTGCCCGGAACGGGGAGTTACCTATCCCAAATGTTCCCATGGATGCCACTTACAAAGGGAAGCAAACAGTAATTCAGTTCGTATGGTTAGAGGACCACAAAAGCGCATCAACTGAAGAAAACCTCAGCTTATTAAATAAGGAAGTGAAATCTGGCAAGCGGTGGGTGGCTGAGCTTAACGAATGACACTTGGAAGCCAGGGTACTGTCCCTTTCAGACACATCGTTAAAGGCACAGAAAAAGAAAGATCGAGGCCTGGTCCTAGGAATGCAATAAAGACCTCCTATAGGATTTTATTATTTCATTTATGAACCGTATGGTTTTGAAAAAGCCCCCCTCCCCCCAGCAATCCATGCCCTTTCCGTCTTCAGAACCGGTTCTAAGCCTCCTGCCTACTGAGGCTTGCTCTGTGCCTTGCGGCATGCTGGTGTCTACCCCACAGGGTCAGAGTGCTTGTTCTCCTTTAGAATGCCTCCATCGGTCAGCTCCACGCCCTGCTTCCAGAAGCCTCCGCTTCGGAAAGAGGATTCCTTCCTCAAGGAACCTGGCCGCCAGTCTGCCCAAGCAGGAGGGAGATCTACAATGTCACTCTCAAAGGTTTAAAATCTCTTTTTTAAAATCCTTCATTTGCACATCTTGCCACATTGTCCAGATCCCTTTCCTCAAAGAGCTCCGGGGCCTGGGCGAGTTCTGAGTCACATGTGGCCAGTGATGAGAAAGACATATTGGAAGGCATCTGACCTTCCTTTAACATCTTCAGAGGTGCAGAGATGGCGGTGAGGCAGCCAGGTCTCAAGTGCTAAGTCTTTCTTGCACCAGAGACTTCCTCACTTCCCAAGGTCGCCGCTCTCCTTCCTTCTAAAAACCAAGAGGTTCAGTCCTCACTGGAGTTATCAAACTCCTCCCAGTCAGACACGCTCATCACCTCTGAGCCCAGGTCAGGGTCCCGCTGCCCCCGGTCCGGGTGCCAGCCAGGGGTTCGCCGGGTAGGGTCTGTGAGCAGAGATCTGGGCAGAGTGAGCACGCACGCTGCCAGGCCAGAGATGGCGTTCTCCAGCTGAGGCCCCTCTTCCCAGCAGTCCTTCTCCACATCGTAGATGTGGACATAGCTCATGCGGCTGCCTCGGTTGTGGGAGCGGCCCCCCAAAACGTAGATCTTATTGTCCAGGACGGCGATGCCCGGCTCGCCATGCCCAGCTGGGAGTGGGTAGACTGCTGTCCACTGCCTGGTGCTGGGGCTGTAGCACACAACCTGCAAAGGAAAACAGCAGCACTGAGAGGCATGAAGGGTGTACTGAGCTCCTGCAGCACGCTTCGCTCTGGGACACAGACAGAAAGGTCAGCCAGGGGCTCCCCTTCTGATAAGGAGGCACAGCCCGGGCTGGCGCCGCAGGCGCAGCGGCCAGGCGGACGACTGTTCCTCTTCTTTCACGGCACGTCTACTGACGACGGCCCGTCAGTTTCTGGTGCTGAGCCATGCGCCGGGGCCAAGGAGTTGGGCGGCCACAACTCTCCATCCTGGGCCTTCAGAAGCCGCGGCTGGGCCCTGGGTAATGCCCGTGGACCACAACATTCTGTGCCCAGGTTGCTCCTCCTCTCTACATCTTACCTGCCCTGCGAGTCCCCCAGCCCGGGATGCCCTCACTCATCTCTCAGATTCCAGCCCCCCACCTCAGAGGTGGATCCCCAACTTCACTGAGAGCAGAAACCAGGGCACCTCTAATTTGGTAGCAGCCTGCACAGTGCTGGGGACTCCTAGTGCCGGGCTCGTTCCCAGCTGGTTACATGAAAGACTCACTCGTTAACTGGTGGGAAAGGGGCAGAAAAAACAGCATGTTATCTGATTTTTAAGCCCTATGAGGACAGGGCCAAATGTAGCTAAATTGTGCCTCTTCCCAAGTGTCTAGCACAGAGCTCTGCACACAGTAGGTGCTTAATAAATGTCTGTTATAATTGAATTGTTCAACTGGAAATAAACAGCACAAGATTTGGGGTCGGAATGCCTGGGTTGGTTCCTGTTTTGGCTTCAGCACCAACTGGATAGTGGTAAATCACACATTCTCCCCAGCTCTGCCCACCGCCCAGGCATGCTGAGGCTGCATAAATTCGGGTACAAAGATGAGGATTCCCTGCCGCCCCCACCTCCCCTACCCTCTCACCTGGTGGACGTCCCTCCGGTAGCCTGAGTCATTGTTGCTGCCGCCGATCACGTACAGTTTGCCCAGCAGGGTGGCCATGCCGTGCCAGGCGCGCCGGATGGGGCTGTCGGCCAGCGCCTCCCAGCAGTTGGCGTCTGGGTCATAGCAGTGCAGTTCCTTGAGATAGTCCTCACCTCGCCGTCCACAGGTGATGTACATCTTCCCGTCCAGAGCGGCCCCCGCGTGGGCATATACCTACACAGAGACAAGGCAGGCAGAGTGAGACGGGCAGGGATGAGCAGAGAACACATCCTGGCTCCTTTCTTTGCAAGGTAGTGAATGGAGTGGAAAAGAATGACTCCCAGCTGGAGTCCAGCCCCTGTCCCTGCCCTTCCACAGCATTCTCTCGCCTCAAGGCTCGGCTCATCCTCCTCCAGAAGGGCAGCCCCGGTGCCCGGGCACGCCTGGGAGGCCTACAGCGGGCGGGCGCTGACTGACAGAGGCTAGATGAACATTTGTTGATGAACGAATGAGCCCTGACTACATGTCCCAGAACCTGCATTCTGACACGGGAGAGAGCTGGGAGGCCTCGGGCACTCCATGCACCGCCTCCCTAGTGAGAGGACGGCGGGGTGCAGAGGAAGGTGGAACCATGAAGGCTCTGCATGGGCGACGCTACCGGGTGAACCAAGGCAGGAAGGCGACTGGCCCAGGACTTCTCAGGACAGCTCCACTTTCTGCTGCGTGAGCTTGCCACGACATCCTGGCTTTTTCTTCTCAAGGAGGCCCACGTTTGCTCTGCTATGGGCTCCCCAGGAATGTTTAGTGTCAGGGAAGTGACGGAGAAAGCCCTGCCTGCCCTGGAGGAGCCCCCAATCTTACATAGGCTGGGGGAGGGGGATACCCCTCTGTCACCAACACCGGTGACAGAAGGGAGCATGTGATCAAAGGAGAGGTCACCGGGGAAATTCTGGGAGGAAGAGATCGCTTGATGTAGGCAGGATCCGGGCACAGGGAGTGAGAAGACAACCAGCACTGGAGGAAGAGGTGGGTTTTCTGGAGGGCGCGCGCCGCAGACGCGGGGCAGAGGCAAAGAAGCAGCGCGTTTGGGGGAGCAGGGAGGCCACCCGCGCCACAGCCCCAGGCCCGCGTCTGGCCGGGTCTTCCCTGCCGCTTCGGGCCTGAAGGATCGGGGGGGGGGGCCACTCTGGCTTCCAGCCCCCCTTTCCTGCCCCATCAGCTATCACACTCCATCTCAAGACAAACTCGGCCTCCGGGTGCTTCCTGTCTGGTGACTGCCCGAGCTGCTTTCAGGCCGAGAACACACTCCTCCCCGCCACCTCTTATTGAGTATTTATTCTTACATAATATTAGCGTCTAGTCTCTTGTTTCCTTCAACGCTCAGCTCAAGCACTCACAGAAGAGCTCCCCCCACGCTCTCGACCACCGGCGCCCTCCCGCCTTACTTGGCATTTCTTCCAAATACACACGTGTCTGTCTCTCTCTCCATCTCCCTAGAGACGTTGTGCTACCCTTCCCCCGATGTGGGAAAGGTTTGTACACCCTTGTCTCTGTCCCCAAGACCCCAGGATAGCGTCTGGTACCCAGCAGGTGCCCGACGATGCCCGCCGAGGGGCTGCCCTCTTGAAGTTCTGGCTGCACTTCCTCTCGGCTCCCAAAACTGGGGCCTTGAAGGGCCACACACTCAGACGCACTGACTCCACTCAGCAGACGTCCCGGAAGGACTGGCTCCTCACGAGAGGATCCCCAGCCCCAGTCTCCTGGGAGCCCAAATCATGACCCTCTGTGGCTTCTTCTGTCAATCAGGCCCCCCTTCCTCCCCCACAACTTCACTTCCCACTAAGGACCAGCACATGCTGGCCCCCCAGCACATCTCACACTGGTTCTAGGAGAATGGAAGCTCCCTGAGGGCACACAGCAAACACCCAGGCCCTGTTGCTGAACGAAGGACTAGGACACAGAGCCACCCTGGGCTGCCTACCCAGAGGATCCAGCCTAAATCCGCCTCTCGGGAGCTGCTGCCAGTCAGAGCCGGCTCTGCCCTCTGGGGAAAACCTGAGACTCCAGGGCCATGAACAGAGTGGGCAGGCCCAGGCCAACCTTGGTCTTCTCACTGACTGGCTATGGGACCCTAAGTCAATCACTCGCCCTCTCTCCGCAACTCAGTTTTCTCACCCGTAAACGGGGATCATACTTGTCCTATTTACATGTTGGGAAGAACAGAAAGTGTCAAAGCCCTGTTCCAAATCCCCCCCTCTCTTCCATGGTGCCCCCTAACTAGTACAGCCCTCACCCCAGCTCCTTAGAATCGACAGTATATCAGAGCTGGAAGAGAGCTGAGATCACGTACTCCTTCACTTGACAGATGAGGAACCAAAGTCCAGCCGGGCAGGGAAGGGCCTAACCCAGGCTCACAGACATGGCTCCCCTGACCTCCCATGGCACTCGCTCTATGCTCACGCCTTGGTCAGGGGCTGCTTCGACCTGCTCTACAGAACTGTTTCGCCGTATGTGTTGTGCAATGGACGTTGTCCCCAGCCCCACCCAGCACACCTCCACAGCACCCATCATCTCTTCCTCTTGAGCCTGAGAGGCTGCAGAGAGCCTGGGGCACAGAAAGGCCAGAAGGGGGCATGCAGGCCACGGCCACTAGCCAGCCCCACCCCACACAAAGATACCACGTGGAGTGAAAGCCTTCCCACTGGACTCATGGGGAAGAGAGAACGGTTCTGGAGTTCAAAACTTGAGAAGACACATAACGGGGATGACCTGCTGTGCTTTCCACGTCATTATTTATGGCGACATTTTAAATTTCTAAAATTCCAACTCCAGGCAAGCTTTCTGGTTGGACATTGCAGGGGGTCAGGAAAAAGATGGCTGCGGTCAGGAAGTCCATGCCAATTCAGGAGCCCACAAGCCAGGTATGTGGCCATCAGGAAGTCACCTTGGTTTCCCCAACTATAAAATGGGGAGAATATTTACAGCACCCACCTTGTGAGGCCAGTGGGAAAAAGCACAAGGTGTCATTTCTACCTTGTAGAAACATACGGTTACAGAAAGTTTAGTTATCATCTTATGCTAAAAATAACCCTCACCCACATGGCTACACACAACTGGAGCAGACAACTCTCCTCTCATCTGCATGTGGAATTCCATGTACAAGCCCACTGCCAATCACCACCCACCCAAGCAGGTCAACTACCACCTATTCCCAAAAGCCCACCCTGATCTGCCTGCCAACCTCTACCCCCACAGAGTCAGCTGGTGGTGCGGTGAAGAGTCAGGAAGACCTGACCTCAGACATTTGCCAGCTCTGGGACCCTGGGCAAGTCATTTAACCTGTCTGCCTCAGTTTCCTCAACTGTAAAAAGGGGAAAATAAGAACACCTACCTCCTAGAGTTGTGGTGAGAATCAAAGAGATAATATTCCCTCTGATGCCTTCGGCCACCTTCTCCTCCTTCAGTCCCGGCCTCACTCCTGACCAAGGCTAGCCTTCCCACTTGTTCACATGACCTCATTCCCTCCAGCCTCTGCCGTCCCCACTGTCACTGCGGCTCGCTCCCCTCTGCCTACAGACATGTCCACGTCTCCATCATCTTGGAAAAAACCTTCACTGGATCCTTCCGTCCCCAAAGCTAAACTCCTCCAAAAGGTCACCTACACTAAGGGCCTCCACTCTCTCTCCTCTCCCTTTTCTTACAACCTTCATCCTTCAACGGAAACTGTTCTCTCCGAAGTGACCAACGAACCATCTCTCAGACGCCAGATCCAACGGCCTCCTCTCCATCCTCCTCCTCGGCCTCTCTGCAGCCTCGGATGCTGTCCGCCACTGTCTCCTCCTTGGTGCTCTCTTGCCTCTTCCTTTTCTGGACATCCCTCTCTCCTGTTCTCCTCCTCCCTCCCTCTCTGACCGCTCCTTCTGTCTCCTGTGCCGGCTCCTCGTCCAGGTCACTCCCCCTGACCACAGGCGTCCCTTGGGGCTCTGTCCTGGGCCCTCTGCTTCTCTCCTGTACTGCTTCACCTGGCGATCTCCTCAGCTCCCCACTGATTGAATACGCCCTTCTGTCCTATGGCAGTGCTGCCCCTGCCCTAGTAGAGGCCCTCATCCCCTCAGCCCTGGACTACTGCAGTAGCTACTAAGGGTCTGCCTGACCCAAGTCTCTCCCTCCAGTCCATCCCCAGTACAGCCACTGAAGCCTTTTCCTAAAGCCCAGCTCTGATCGATGTCTCTCCCCCCTCAATAATCTCCAGTGGCTCCCTACTGCCTCCAGGAGCAAATAGAAAATGCTCTGGTTGGCCTTCAAAGCCCTTCACAGCCCGCTCTCTCCTCCCTTCTAGTCTCCGGAGGAATCTTACCTCCCAACATGTCCTCTGCAATGCTGCGACCCTGGCAAGGTCCTGGTTGCTCCACCAAGACCCTCCATCTCTCTGCTCAGGGCATTTTCTCTGGGTGTCCCCAGGCATGGGACACTTTCCTTCCTCCACTCCCAGACTACTGGCCTCCTTGGCCCACCTTCCACAGCAAACCTTTCCCAACCCCTCTGAATTCCAGGGCCTTCCTTCTGCTAATCATGTCCTATTTATCCTGTATATAGCTTGTTTTGGATACAACTGTTTGCTTACATCAGATTGTAAGCTCCTCCAGGGCAGGCCCTGTCTTTTGCCTCTTTTTGTATCCCCAGTACTTAGCATAGTGCCTGACACATAGTAGGTATTTAATACTTATTGTCTTTTCCCATTCTCAATGAACAAGGATTTACTTGGCGCTTACCATGTGCCAGGTTCACCTGACCTCTTAGCACCCAGTTTCCTGTTATGGACTTATTTAATTTGTATCATATCATATAAACTACATATCAGTGTAGTGTCATCTCCCCAAGAGATCTTAAGCTTCTTGGGGTTTGTAGGCAGTGGAAAGACCACTAGAGGACCTGGGTTCAAATCCCTTCTCAGCCATTCATCTACTGGCTGTCTGACCTTGGACAGTTCCTTAAGCCTCTCCTTCCAGCACAAGGGGGAGGCCCCTCCCTGCACAGCCCTTGTTCCTCTGGGACAGGATAAGCCCGAGCACAGCCAGCCTGCTGCAGTCACTGCCTTGCTGACCCCAAAGCTGGAAGGCTGGAACTCAGCAGCCCCCTGGTGCGCCCCCACGTGGCCCAGAGTGGCCACTACCGAATCCCCAACAAGCCTCTGGTTTCAAGGTCCCTCTTAGCACTTGAAATTCTTGGGGCTGGGGCAGGGCAGGGCCGAGCCAGGGAGGGAGTCTTATCAGGCCTCCATGGCCTCCCAACCTTTCCTTTCCTTTCCATGGTGAGCCTGAGAAGCAGGGCCCACACAAGCCAGAAGGCCAGAACCGCAGGCTATGCTCCTCCTCATCTCAGGCCTCAGGGCTGGCAGGGAGCTGGGCAGCACTCGCTCACAGACGCCCATCTCGGGAGCCTGACCAAGGTCAGGAGCACCGAGTGGATGGAGCCCCAGGTCAGGGGCCCTGCCATCTTGTACAAGTCAGGTCGGGCACTGGGGAGAGAAGCACAACCTGTTCTTTGCCCCAAGATGGCCCCATCCCCATTCAACAGATGTGGAAACTGAGCATCAGAACATTTCAGTGGCTTTCTCAAAGTCTCCCCCAAGACAGGTCTCTTGACCCCAGCTGGACGCTGCTGTTCTCAAGGTGGGTTCCAATCTTGCTGTGACATTTATCAGATTACTCACCCTCCCCAGGCCTAAGACTCCTCTCCTATAAAATGAAGAGATACCATGGGATGAAGGAGGTAGTCTCTAAGCCCGTCTCACTCTAACTAGTTCTAGGATCCAATGAAGAAACTTCTCATTCCCAAAAGAAGCCATATCAAGTATGCATGACTCTACCATTTCCCTTCCAATTAATGGAATTCTAAATCAGAAAACAGATTTTTTTTAAAGGAAAACAAGCAGAAAAGGGCGCTGTTCTTGGGAACCAAGGAGATCTGTGTGCAAATCCTGGCTAACACCCAGGAGCAAATCGCCCAACCTCTTGGAGCCTCAGTTTCCACAGCTGTAAAACACAGACACAGCACTGGTGCTCTCAGAGGAGTGCTGTGAAGAAATCACTCAGAAAACCCTGCACAGCTACAGAAATGAGGGGATTCAGTGACTGCAAAAGCACTTTCAGTGTCCTAAGTACAGAGTACCAGTCTCCAGAATATGCATGGGATGCTGGGTCACCTCCACAGAGAAGCTGATGAAAATGACAGAGGCTACACCAGGAATGGGCACTACAGGGTGCCCCTGGGTGGAGAACACCAGGCCTGCAACCCTGGCCAAGTCACTTCACCTTGTCTGCCTCAGTTTCCTCATCTGTCAAATGAGCTGGAGAAGGAAATGGCAAACCGCGCCAGTGTCTCTGCCAAGAAAACCTAAAGGGGTCACAGAGAGTCAGACACGACCCAACAAAAAAGCTAGCTTCCCGGGATAAACTTGGAGGGAGAAAGAGAGAGAGAGAAAGAGAGAAAGAGAAAGAGACAGAGACAGAGACAGAGAGAGACAGGCAGACAAAGAGACAGACAGCGAAACAGAGAGAGATAGAGAGACGGAGAGAGAGAGACAGAGAGAGAGAAGACAGACAGAGGTCACGTGCCCCAGGCCCAGTCTCTGGCTTCAGCAGCTTCAACCTAGCTTCAGTGATCCAAATTTAACATAAATATGTATATATTCTGTACATATGGGTCCTTTCCTTTTTTTCTTTTTTCTCTTTGGGGGTAGAAAAATATTTCTAGCAGCTCTTTTTGTGGGCAAAGAGCTGAAAACTGAGGGGATGCCCATCAACTGGGGAATGGCTGAACAAGTCATGGTATAGAAATATGATGCCAAACTATTATGCTATAAGAAATGATGAGGGGGACGGTTTCAGAAAAACCTGGGACAACTTCTATGAGCTGATGCAGAGGGAAGTGAGCCGAACCAGGAGAACAGTGGAACACTGTGATGATCAGCTGTGAAAGGCTTGGCTACTCTGATCAAGGCCATGACCCAAGACAATTCTGAAGGACTCCTGACGAAAAGCGCCGTCCGCCTCCAGCCAGAGGACTGGTGACCCTGAGTACAGACTGAAGCATCTTTTTTTTAACACTTTCTTTTTCTTGATTTCCTCCCCCACAACACGGCTAAAGTGGAAATATGTTTTGCATGACTTCCTGTTGTGTAATGGGTATCATACTGCTTGCCTTCTCAACAGGTAGAGAAGGGGTAGAGAAAATTTGGAACTGAAAATAAAAATTAAAAATAAATAAAATCTTTAAAATAGATTTTTGCGCGGTTAGCTTGTACCCATAGTTTTCTTTCAAGAGCTCTCATCTGGGGGAGAGGCAGCACTTGAGTTAGAGATTCTAAATACAAAGCCCATTTCAGGCAAAGGTACGGAGAGAGAAGATGAGCTATCACGTGAAGGACAGTAAGCCCAGTCTGGCTCACAGCCAGAGAGAAAAGGGAAGTGGGTCGTAACAAGCCCGGAAAGGGAGGATGGCTCGAGCTGGAAAGGGGCTTTGAATGCCAAACAGGGGTTTGTCCTTAACCTGGGGGCAGCAGGAACTCCTGGAGTCTGGGACAGCCAGCTCAGTCAGCCCTGTGCTGTTGAGCCCAGGGCAGCTGTGTGGAGGGAGTGGCACAGGCAGAGACCGCAGGCCGGGGCAGACGGTGGCAGCAGGGCTGCCTACAGGGGGGCTGTATGCTCCAGGCAGAGAGGGATGGGAAATCCAAACGAGGGAACACACGGAGCTGAGGAAGAATCCGAGATGGCAGAGCGGGATGTCGGGGAGTGGAGGGGAGAGGCAAAGAGAAGGCTTTGGCCAATGCTAAGCTGAAGGTGCCTACAGGCCACCTGGTCTGAAATGCCCACTAGACGGCTGGAGTCTGGGGAGATCGGGGCCTCATCACTGGGCAGAGGCAGAGCAGAGCTCGGGGGCACCACCCGCCCGGGGCAGCGACCAGGCAGGCAGGAGAAGAACCACGGAACACTGAGAAAAGGGCGTCCAGCTGGGCGCTGGAGAGCTCCCACCCCAGCCTCTCCAAGCCTCACCCTGGGGCACACCCCAGACCAGGGTGGTCTCCCAAGTGGTCCAACAGTTAGACTTGCTCTGCTAAAGGAGGCGGCCGCTAGGTGGCGCCACAGTGCGCAGAGCACAGGGCCAGCGGGTCGGGAAGACTCCACTCTGAAAATCCAGCCTCAGACCCTTCCTGGGCGTGACTCTGGCCTAATCACAACACTCTGCTTGCCTCAGCTAGTTCATCTGTACAATGAGCTGGAAAAGATGCTCCAAGAAACCCCAACGTGGGGTCACGAAGAGTCGGAGACGACTGAACAACAAGAGAATGAGGACATTCTACGAGGACGTGCCCCGAGGACCCTCCGGGGTGTTCGCTAGTGAAGCTCCCCTGACTCTGAGCTGCCCCTCAAGGGTCACCAGCTAAACATCCGAGAGAACCCAGAGCTCCTCACAGCCCTGGGGGTCCAATGGTCAGAGCCTCAGGCCAGGAGTTAAAGACCTGGGTTCAAATCCAGCCTCAGACACTTCCTAGCCACATGACCCTGGGCTAGTCCCGTCACTTCAGTCTGCCTCAGTTTCCCCAACAGTAAAGTAGAGACAAGCACAGCGCCTCCTCCCCGGGGCAGAATCGAGGATCCATATTAGTCCTGCAATTTGTAAAGCACTTCACACACTGCCCCCCACACAGAAAGGGCTCAACAGATGCTTTTTTGTTGGTGTTCAGTTGCATCTGCCATTTCCTTCTCCAGCTGATTCTGCAGATGAGGAAACTGAGGCACAGGGTCACACAGCTAGAAAGTGTCAAAGGGCAGATTTGAACTCAGGTCTTCCTGACTCCAGGCCAGGCACTGTCCGCTCCGCCACCGACCTGCCCCGTGATAATCAACACTTACTCCCCCTGTAATCAGGTGACTGGGAAGTGAAGTCAGTAAGCTGACCCGTGAGCCAAATCCAACTTCAAGGACGGTTTCAATACATTTGAGGAAAAACGAGCCTCACGTGCACCGAAGGAGGTATAAACTCTGGCCCCCAGAGAGGACGGCCCGCTGCCTCCCTGGTCCACAGTCCCTCGGACCTCCCAGCAGCGGGCCACCAGGGTGGGCGGCTCCCCAGCCTTCCACCAATGGCCCGTGCCACGGCACCTGGCCTGGTGCACTCCTCACCTCTCTCTTGAGGGGCGCCACGTAGTCCCACGTATTGGTGCCGGGGTCATAGCGCTCCACCTCCTTCAGGTCCGCGTGGTAGTCCCGCCCAGCCACGGCATAGATGTGCTTGCCCAGGACGCACACACACAGGTCGGCATGCTCTCGCTGCAGGGACTGGATCTGAAACCACCTGTTGTGCCTCGGATCGTACCTTGGGAAAGGAGACAAGGAGACAGGGCTGGGACCCCTCCGGGGCAGCAGTGGCCTCGAGCTGCGCCCTCGGACGGGCCGCTGCCCGCACCTGCCAATGTCCTCCAGAGGAGGGCACCCGCCTTCTTCAAAGCTCGGCTCAGCGCAGGCTCCTCCTCGACCCCACCCCTCCCCTGAGATTCCTGCCCGGTGGCAGCACAGCACACAGCAGGGGCTTGTTTAATTACACGTGCAGCGTTTGGTCCATTCACCCTGCGATGCTCATGATAAGCATGGGCCCCCGACCAACCAGCAGGTATTTATCGAGCACCTACCCGCCCCATGCAGGCCACTCATTGCTCGTCTCCAGGAGCTGACCCTAACGGGGGAGCCAGCCAGGATAAACCCACTGAAGGCTGAGCAGAGGCCTAGGCCAGGCCCAGGGGTGGGAAGGTGGGCCAGGCGCCTGGCCTGCAGGGCGAGAGGGAGCCCTGGGACAGCTACGTGAGGGATGGTAGAAGGGGAAGGAAGCGATGAGGCCGTGAGGCCGAGGAGGCCCAGACTGCGCTGGGGGCTGCGTAAGACGGGCAGTGGGGGACGGTGTCGGCTGACCAGGCTGAGAAGGGTGAGGAGTCCAGATGACTCAGAATTAGGCGAAATAGGGAAGTCTGGAGGAAAAGAAAACGCCTCCGTTCTAGACACCTTGAGGGGGAGGAGCCTCCAGGACACTGGGTGACCTCGGGGTCACCAGACAGTCACCAAGAGTGTCTGGAGAGGAAGAGAAGGGGGCCCAGGACGCGGCCCCAGCTACGGGGTGTGATCTGGATGAACAAAAGGGGACCGAGAAGGAGCAGGCCCCTGGGCAGGCGGAGAACCTGGGAGTGCAGCACCCCAGAGAGAGAAGGAGGGGACCGACAGAGCCCACACAACGTGGGCCCTCCGGAGAGCGTTACCCCAGACGGCTGGGGAGGTCAAGAAGTACTGGGGAGAATGCCAGCATCCCCGAGGGGACCTCTGAGAGCGGCCACGTTCCTGCCCCCTGCCCCCACTGCTCCCCTGTCCATCCTCCCCGGTCTCTCCATGTTAACTTCACTGGAGCCCCAAGGCCTGATCTCAAGCCCTCCCCTCACCAAACGCAATCCTCCAGCTGGGTCTGACCAGGGCTGAGCATGGCAGGCCCCTCCTCCCTCTCAGTCAGCCTTCCCGCCTCTGGCCCTACAGTGGTCTGCCATTACCCAAGAAAGGAGAGTCCAAACCTTCCCCTCGTTTTCACCCCGCGGGGCCCGGCGCCCCGGGGGGGGGGGGGGGGGGGGGTCTGCCTCAAGGACACCCACTACTCAGTTCTTCTGCAGCTCACGCCTAGCCCAGCTCACAGGGCTCTTAGCCACACAACCCTGGGCAAGTACCAACCTACTGCAGCCTCAGTTTCCTCGTCTGTCAAATTCGGATATAACAGCATCATAGGGCTGAGGCAGAGGGGGTGGGCAGGGCACACGCCTTTTCTTTTTTCCCAAGCTCCCAGCAGAAACCTTGCTGCTCCCCTCCCAACCCGCCTGCCTCACTCCCTTTCTAGGAAGGCGGATAGCCCCCCAGACAAGAACAAGTGACACCCGGTTCAGAACAGGGAAGGCCAGGCCTTGTCCTGGGTGATCGCCCATCCCCCCCAGGGTAGGGCAGCCAGGTGACCTGGGAGGCAGGAAACACAAGTCTGAACGTTTCCTTAGACATCTAGGGCCTTTGGGAGCCTGGGCCAGCCACGCAGGAGTGAGACTCCGGGTGCGAAGCCCTCTGCACACTACAGCAGCTCTCCTCGTCAGCGTCCTCCGCACGCTGGTCTGACCGGGCCACCTCCGCCCAGATCACCGTGCTTGGCTTTACAAGAGGGACCCTGGCCACTGGGAGCCTGTCCAGAGGAGGCCTGCAGACATCATGGCGAGGAAGCTGGCCATCACAGTGACTGAGGATCAGCTCAACCACCTGGAGCTTCGAAGGCTCGGGAGGCTGCGAGCTCTGACACCAGAAGGGAGGGATCAGGCAGAACAAGATGGACGGAGGCTGCAGAGGCGAAGTCCGGCGTGATGCGGGGCGGCGGGAGGCCCGGGCTCACCGGCCCCGCCAGACCCTGACCCTGAAGACACGTGTGTGAACCGGGGGCGCCCGGCTCTCCTGCCCCAGCCCCCGGAGTCCCCGACCCCAGCTGCCCGAGAGGCCCAGGGCCACCGGCGAGGCTCCTGAGGCTTACCTACCTCCAACAGCGGGACTCAGCGCGGAAGCCTCGGACGTTGTTGTCCCCGCCGATCAGGTACACGAAGTTGTGCAGCACGGCCACGCCCTGATTGGACATGCGGGGCGCCAGGGCGGCGGTGAAGTGGCGCCACTCCCCCAGCGTGGGGTGCAGGTACTTGGCCTGGTCGCTGAGGACCGTAGAGGGGGTCGAGTGCATGCCCCCAAAGCCCACCACACAGCGGAACTCGGAGCGCAGGGCCGTGTGGGAGCTCTGCAGGCTGGGCTGCAGGATCTCCTGGCGGTGGTAACACAGGGCGCTGCCCACCGTGTCTCGCAGCGGGCAGGGGCTCAGCTTGTCGTGGAGTTTCTGCAGGAGCTGGAGCTCCATGAGGGGGAAGCGCACGGTCTCCAGCAGCTTGGGCGGCTCCAGCAGAGACACCTGGTCGGTCTCGATCTGCTCCTGAGTGTAGTGGTAGAGCAGCGCGCCCTCGTAGACCTCGTTCTCGCAGCTGACCTCCAGCCGGTCGCTGCTGAGCAGGGCGTAGACCTTGTCGAGGGGCAGCTGGCGGTACTTGTCAGTCCTACAGAAGGCCACAAAGTTCCTGAGGATGTAGGAGTCCAGCTGCTCCGTCAGCCGGCCCAGCTCGAAGAGGTCAGCCAGCTTGTACACGTCCAGGATGTTCTCGTCGTCCACCCAGGACATGAGGAAGTCGCAGCAGAAATGGATGATTTCTGGGATCTGCGGGAGAGAGAGAGAGAGGCGCTCACGAGGGAGGCCGGCCTGAGTCCTTTGGACGCCCTCGGGGCCAGCCCTGACCCCGGGGCGGGGAAGGCCCGGACACCAGGAGGGCCCTGGAGATCACTCAGGCAGCAGCTTCCCTGCGCGGGCCTGTGGAGGGACCAGCCCCGGTCCAAGAAGCCACATACCTCCCGACGTGGTCGTTGTCAGCCTGATTTTGCTCTAATTGAGCACATGGCAAAAACAAATCCATTACCAAAGTGGGATCTGTCACATTTTCTGACATTAAAATGTTGGAAAATCTTTGGGATTTAAGAATCAACCACCTAGCCCTATCCCATCATTTTACAAGAGGGGAAACTGAGGTCCTACTGATGAAATGACCTGCCTAGCATCACCCTGACAAAGCTGTGACTCCAACTTGGGCCCTTTGCCTCTGCCTCCGCACTCCCCCAGGCCTGGGGTGGACCCTGGGGCTGCTCAACAGAGCCCAGGCAGTGGTCAGCGCTTGTCCTCCCCAAAGCATTCCACAGCCCATCCCCCCCCCCCCCCACACCCCCCCCCCCCGGAGCGATAACCAGGCCTGTTCTCAGGGACGTCTTGAGACGTGAAGAACCAGTCACACTCCCAAAGTTCTTCCCTCAACCCTGCAACAGGTGAAGGGCAGCCGGGGGGCGCCGCAGAGCGCAGAGCGCCGGGCCTGGAGCCATCCTCCTGTTCAAAATGGGCCTCACACACTGACCAGCTGTGTGACCCTGGCCAAGTCACGTCACCCTGTTTGCCTCAGTTTCCTCATCTGTACAATGAGCTGGAGAAGGAAATAGCAAACCATTCTGGTATCCCAAATGGGTCACGAAGAGTAGGATATGACCAAAAAGGACCCAACAACGTCGCCCACGGACGAAGACTCGTCTGGAACCACATGGCCCCTGAGTAGCCCACCCCCCACCTCCAGGCCCTAAAGATATCATGAGCAGGCTAGCAGGGCTGGGATTCCCCAGGTGCCTCTGTGGACATCCGGCTGCAGTCTCCTAAGCGAGGGGTTTCAGCTGGTCTGAAGTCCATAACCTTCGCAGCTGCTCTTGGAGACAAGGGGTGTCTGCCCTGAGCTGGGAGCTCCAAGGGCCGAGCCTCACCCCCTGCTCTCCTACCAATCGATGGACAACTCCGATCACCTCCCTGGGCAGTGGGCCCTCAGGTGCCAAGAGGGTGGAGCTGACTATCTCTGCAGCGTTTCCAATGCTAACATTCAGAGACTGTAGGCCATGAAGGCAAGCCCCCTTCTATCTGTTCTGTGCCTTCTCCAGGGGCTCTGCTCAGTGCTTGGCAGGTAGGCAGGGTTAAGCGATGGCCGTTGCACACACACACATGAGGAAGGTTTGCCTTACAGACAGCTGAACTCTGTCTCCCTGCCTTACTCCCAGACATGCATCCACATGAGTCTAGATCAAAGGTGTCCAACTCATTGGCTGGAAAGGGGGGCAGAGGGCGGTACAAGCACCCCAGACCCAGAGCAGGGAGAACCAGGTTTAAATGAATTAGGAAATGCTTCGCACTCTCCACAAGAACACAACACAGCAGAGATAATCTTGAGTCTGACCCTGCTGGCCTGGATGGCTCCTGGGGTCTCACGGCGTGCCAAGGGGATCCCCCTGGCCTCCTCTGCACCTGGGACGTCCCTGGTGATGGCTCCCGATGAGGCGGGTCCCCGGATCAATGCACATCAGCAAGTTACAATCTCTAAGAACGGCCTGGAGTACCAAGGCATCAAAGGTCCCATGGCCAGTCCTCTCCGCCACGCAGCCCTCACATAACCCAACGCAGAGACGCAGCACAGAATCAGGAGGGGCCTGGGTGTGAATCCCACCCCAACACCGCGAGGCCTCGGCCAAGCCACCCGACCTCACTCACTCAACTACAAAATGGGAATAAGGTCACCTCACAGAGAGGTTAGGAAGATAAACCGCTAAGGACCTTCAAGGACTCAAGAGAAATGTCACGGCATTATGATTATGGTTCTTCTACCTTCTCCTACTGCAAAACCTGCAGAATTCCACAGGAAAATGCACCTTAACTGGTCATGTGAAGGTCCACCAGTAGAGCGAGGAGCGGGGACTTCATGGGCATAGGCAGGTGGAGAACACGAGTCCAACTCAGCACACAGGCCCTGGCTGAAGAGCTGGCCGGGAAGAATAGGGCAAAGGCCATCTCCCAGTCCAGAACTTCAAAGGTCAAAGCTGGTCAGAGCCGACGGACTGACGGGCTGACTGACGGACAGACGGATGGGCCGGCCAGCAGCCGAGGAAGGGAGGGGGCACAGCAGCCAGGACCCACAGGCTTCCCCCACGTGCTCCCAACCCCCACCTGTCACCCTCAACAACACACAGGAAACAAAGAACCACACCAAGTGAACAGTTTTCTGCTTCCTGCTCTTCGTTTTAGAAACTGCTTCATGGAACGCTGAAACTCCGTTTTTGGAAATTCTAAACTAAATAAGCCCCCGGTTCCTTTATTTTTTTTATCTGTGGGACAGAGGCCTTCAAAGCAAGGGCTCCCCAATACCATGAGAGACAGAGACACAAAAATAGAGACTCAGACACAGAGCCTCAGAGACAGAACCTCTGAGACAGACAGAGACAAAGAGACAGAAACAGAGTCAGAGACAAAGAGACAGAGACAGAGACTCAGAGACAGCGCCTCTGAGACAAAGAGAGAGAAACACAGTCAGAGACACAGAGTCAGAGACAAAGAGACACAGAGTCAAAGAGACAGAGACACAGAGTCAGAGACAGAGACAGAGATAGAGACAGAGACAAAGAGTCAGAGACAGAATCAGACAGAGACAAAGAGACAAAGACACACAGAGAC